TGTTGTAACAAGTTTTGTTACATTAGGTTGTGAAGAAAACATACCCACGAAATAAAGAAAAGAATAGAATACGTGGCTAAAAGTAATCAATCTCATATGTGTTTCATATGTGTTTTATAGTTTGTTACGAGAAGATTAAAGAGGATACCGAAATTTATAGAGAAGAAGAAAAAGAAAAGGTTAAACTATTTTTGAGTTTGTGTTCGTGTTTAAGATTCGGATATTTTTTTGTCGTATAAAAATTCAGTCTGTTTGCTGTAACAAGAATTTTGAAATATTTCTAAATTTAAAAAATATTTATTGCACAATATAGTTAGTTTTTATATTGTTTTAAGAGTCTTTTAAAATCTTCAGATTTGTTATATATAATCGTTGAAAAACATAAGGACAAGTACCAGATATACTCTTAAAAATGAACGATTTATTTATAATAAATTTTAAGACCACTGGAAACCCTAAAACAATATTAAAATTTATCTAAATACTAAAATCAGCAATATTAAACTACATCAACTACCTACGTCGAGAATTATCAATGGAAGAGAAAGAGAAAAAGAAGGAAAAAAGGTTAAACCATATTAGAGTTTGCGTTCATGTTCCAGATTTGGGTACATATTTTTTCGTTGTAATAAACCTCAGTCATTGTAACGAGATATTTGAAATATTTTTAATCTTAAGTTTGTATTACTTTGAAAATAAAAGGGCAACCACCGAATACAAACTTAAGCGTAAACAACATATTTATAATAAATCTCAAAACTATTAGAAAACCCTAAATTTGTTATCTTAATGGTAAAATTAATATTACTAAATTACGTCAACTATTTACGCAGAAATTTACCAATGGAAGAGAAAAGGTAAAAAAAAAGAATAAAAGATTAAATCACTCCGAGTTTGTGTTCATGTTCAAGATTCAAATAGTCATAAAAAGGTTCAGTTTTTCAAATGTAACAAAATATTTGAAAATATTTCTAAATTTATAAAATAATTATTTTAGCATTTAGATAGTTTTTTATATTGTTTTAGGGTTTTTTGGTGGTCTTACGATTTACTATAAATAAATCGTTTAACCTTATGTTTGTATTCCGCATTAAATTACTTTGGAAATATAAGGACAACCAAATATAAACTTAAGCATAAACGACTTATTTATAACAAATCTCGAAACCATTGGAAAAAACTAAAACAATAGTAAAAGATAAGTTGAATGTTAAAATTAATATGTTAGAGTTATATTAATTATCTACACCGAGAGGAGAAAGAGAAAAAGAAGAAGAAAAAGTTATATCAACTTCGAGTTTGTGTTCATGTTTAATCTTAAGTTTAGAAATAGAGAGACAACTACCGAATATAAATTTAAGCGTAAACGACTTAGTTATAATAAATTTTGAAACCATTGGAAAATCCTTAAAGCTATTAAAATTA